TGGTGAACATAGAGACGGATATTTGTATCATTATGCTTTTGTTTTTCCTTTCCCATGATGGTCCCTCTGGGGGTATGGTTCAGTATTTTCACTGTGGCTTGTAGATGGTCTTGTAGGGATCTTTGTATTTTTCTGCTTTCTATGATGAATATGGATCTTTAAAGTATTGTGGTGTTTGATCTGGCTGTTCTTGAGTGCATTATTATTATGATCCCCCATTGCTGTGGCCTTGGTTTATTGTAAGAGGGCCGTGCACCCCCATCTCCTCCACAGGGCCACTTTAGATGTTGTTTGTTTCATCTTTTCTATAGGAGTTGACCTCATTACCCCAGTGATTATTCGGAGAGCCTGGTTTTGTACTTTTTCCAGAGTGTATTTGTGAGTCTGTGCTGCGATCATCCATGCATTGGATCCGTACTCGAGATGGGGCCTGATTGCGCCCAGATAGACCTGCCTGAATGTTTTCGAAAGTTATTGTTTCTCGCTGCTCCCTGTCCAGCTGCTGCGGTATGAAAACAGCCACATTAATGCTTTATTAAACAGCTTAGCTTTTCTGTCTTTATACTTGTTGGAAGGAGACGTGATAATGGTGGTACTGGTGGTAGTGGCTGCAGCCTTGGTCGGTAGTTATCATATTAATCTTAATTAAATACCTGGATTTTTCATATTAAACTACCCTGAGCTAACAGTCAAAGTGATATCGTAAAACCCCTTTCTTATTTCCCTTGACTCTGTTCTTCTTGTTGTTGTTGTTTAAATGCTATTGGCTTTGCTTTTGGTTTTGTTGTTGCTGTTCTTGGTGCATTTGTTATTAATGCTGTTGTTGTTATTTGTGTTGGTGGTGGTGGTGGTGATGTATGTTTTTTAGTTGTGGGCTCAAATTAGAACAAAGTCCTGCGTGCACGACTGTTGTTATTGTCACTTATGTTGCTTTTTTATATATGAGGCATAGTGGTGAAATCAGTCGCTCGTCAAAATAGTGAAATAAAAGAAATCGATATTTTTTGGGCCGACAGGCAATTTTTTTCTTATATCTGGTTTTGGCTCAACACCTTTTATATCCTTTTAAAAACACACTTTTGTGTGGATTTTACTGGAAAAACTGATTAAAGGCACAACAAATGAAAATTTTCAGTTTCCAAGGACTCTTAAGATATGGAAGTTACAAAACTATGGAGGCCATTTTCTCGCTAATTTTACCTCTGAATCCAGGAGAACCTGACCTCCTTCAATCGCAAATATTATTCATCATAGACCCGTATTTTGTTCACCAAAATGAAGGCAAATGAACAGGCTTTAGGGTGATACCAATCACCCCATATGCCCAAATATTGACGAGCGCATGATTCCACCACGTTCTGACACGTATACTTATTCCGAAGTTGTTGTTTCTACTGCTGGTGCTGTTACATTTTTTTGTGGTTTATGTTTTGGTAGTCTATGTTTGCTGTTACGTTTATTGATGCTGTTTTGTCGTATATTTTAAAAAAGTACTTGTTCTATAGTTTGGGAACAGAATAATAGTAGTATAATAATGAAATTGGTGCATCATCGGTGGACAGAAATACATTTTTGGCTTTGCAATATCATTTGAATCTGAGCGCATTTGATGCTAGTGTATCAAAAACAAAACAAAAAAGTAAGGAGAATAATTGAATAATTAAAAAATCTCAAAATTGTCTTTACAACATAGACAACAGCTTGAGATTACAGAACTCCCCCAGGAGGTCACTTCAAGGTTTGAGGTGTTATCTTCCAACGTTTCAAAGAAATCAAACTGAAATGATGATTTATATTATGATCGTGCATATCATATGTATATTAATACTTAATTTATACACATAACATGTAATGATATACCATTATTACATATTTGTGTGAGTACTTGTTTGTGTGTGCGTGAGTGTGTGAATGTGTGTGAATGTGTGTTTCCGTCTGTGCATGTGTGTGTGTGTGTGTGTGTGTGTGTGTGTGTATGTGTGTGTGTATGTGTGTGTGTGTTTGTGGCTGTGGCCGTCTGCCAGCCTGTAAGTTTTTTGTACCACCTTCAAACAACATCTGCTTCCCCCCCCCCCCCCATTTACGCCAGTCTGTCTTTTTAAAATCCTTTTCTGCTTTCTTTATGCCTCTCTTCTTCCATCTTTGTCTGTCTGTCTGTCTGTCTGTCTGTCTGTCTGTCTGTCTGTCTGTCTGTATGTCTGTCTGTCTGTCTGTCTTCCTGTCTGTCTCTCCCTCCCCACTCTCTCTTTCTCTCTTTCTCTCTCTCTCTATCTCTCTCTTTCTCTCTCTCTCTCTCTCTCTCTCTCTCTCTCTCTCTCTCTCTCTCTCTCACCCCCCTTCCGTCTGTTTCCACTTCTTTCTGACTTTCCATTATAATTGTTACCTCTTAATGTCTGGCTATCTCTATTTCTGTTAGTCTGCTTTGGTCGCTTGCTTGTCCTTCCCCTTCTCTATCCCTTATCACCTTCTCTGCCTTTTCCCCTCCCTTATCTTTCCGCTTGACTTACCCCAGACTGCGGGAATAAAATATTTAAATGCCAGCAAAACCATACCAGGAGAATTGCATCTCACTTCTTTCGGCGTTCTTTTTCATCGTTCAAGCAGGACAGCGCACAGCACCCAACGACTGCGCTGCTACTATTTTGGCTAAAAACACAAGAGTACTCAAGAGTTACAAGAGTGCTCAATATAATAATAATAAATAAACAGGTTTAAAAATGAATAAATAAATAAATGAATAAATAAATAAATACATAAATAAATAAATAAATAAATAAATAAATAAATAAATAAATAAATAAATAAATAAATAAAGAGGCAAAGATCGAGGACACTGAATAGAAGTACACACAAGTCGTTCTTAATTCGCCATGGAGAGTCGGACAGTTTACTCAAAAGCAATGGAATTCCATAAACACAAGATGAAATGAATGTCTTCCCTGGAAAAGTAACGAGAGTGGGGCATCTTCAGAATATAGATATATCTGGCCGATCTTGAGTTTATTAAGCATCGCTCTGAAATTACGCGAACAAACATTATCCAACTTATTATTTGTAAGTATATACATACACAGTCACACACACACACACACACACACACACACACACACACACACACACACACACAGATGAATAAAGGATAAAAGAAACTCGTCTCTGTGTAAAAATGAAAGGCTTAAACTTTCCAGCATTTTGACTTCAATCGGAGAGCGGTCGCTGTTTATTTTCGTCACGCAGCGCTGGAGTTCAAGAAGGAAAACTACCGTATCGATCCTGCCCTTGGAGAGAGCTAAAACATGTGAAACTGGGAATCGATCTTTGTAAAATGTTGCCATATGTGGCTGAAAACGGTGTTTAAAGTTTATCGTTAAAGCGGATAAGATATGTCAAGTTGTATGAAGATATAAAATGGCATTGAGTCATTAAACTTTATAACAGCTCTCCATTTTATATTGTTCCTTTTTAGATGCGTGCTTCCCTGTTGTTCAAAAGCAAACTCAGCCAGGCATAATATTTGTAACGTGATCTTCCTCGTAAAATGACTTCGATCGAAGTCGGGCAGGGTTGATGTTATGGTCTCAAATCTTTAAGAGCATTCTCTTTTGAGTTGTACTAAAAACGAATAGGACATGGGTTTGAAATAAACTGTTGCAGCCATAAATTAATACTAATATGACAACTGGGGCATCGGCAGATTCGAACAACACAACCTCTTACTAAAAACAACAACCGCAAACAATGAAAATAATAGCCACAACATCATCAACAACAACAACATCAACAACAACAACGACGACGACGACGACTTCTACGTCAACAGCAACAAAGAGAACAGTAAAAACAACAACAGCAGCAGCTGCAGCTGCAGTCTCAACAACAACAATAGCTACAACAACAACGGTAGCTCGAACTGTAAGTGACCGTTGTTGGCCTTACGCCAGTTTCCAAGACTGAGTCCATTGTCGAAAAACAAATTACTGTTTGAGTCAGCTTATAACAAGATTGACGAGTGCTTCCTCGAGGCCTAACTAGTCTTCAGCTTTTACTTTGTGAACAAGACTGTTGACAACGAATATTGATTAATTTGATGACAGATATTCTATTTTGAAAGTTGGCTTTTAAAATGCTCTAGTGGTACTCCACTCAACTGATCCATGTTGTGCAGTTAATTTCAAACATGAGCCAACAAGGAAAATGTGCCAAGTGGCATACGAAATGGATCCAGTTATACCGGAACATTATTGCATTCATTTAATCTCAGTTCACCGTCCTGTCTTTTTTATTCAAAATTTAAAAAAGACAAAATATAAATTTTTCGGGACTTATTGTGATAAAAATATATTGTTTGAAAGCACTTTGATTTCATTCACGTTAATCTAAAGTTTAAAAGGTATTCTTTTATTTTTCAACTCAGGGGCAAGGGGAAAACTGGCTTTCATTGACGTGGAAAAGAATCACTGTGCGTTTTTAGAATGAACTGTTTCCCAAAGTGGCTGACCATTAACAGGCGTCTGTCATGAAAAGGTAGTTCTTCGTGTCTGGGTATAAAGGACACCGGCTTGGTTTCCATGGAAGAGAAATATTATTCGATTAAGTATGCCGGTTTTGCATTGTGATGTATTCCATCGTACTGTGTTATAAACGAGGCCAGGTATTTGTGGTTGGCAATGTGTGTTTGCTCCTTTTGTCCTATAAAACATATATCATCTATATCTCTCTTCCTTCTGCTGTTTGTATGTTACTCTGTAGTGCCGCCTCTAATCTTCGACATATAAGGCTTATTTGTATTACAAGTACCATATAATTCTTTCCAATAACTAAAACTAGTGGGTCATAACCGAAAGACAAGTTCAGTGCATAAAGCCAAATAGATAAGTAAATAAACTTTAGCCTATTGAGGATTAAAATAGTAATTATTCACGTACTCACCATTTCTAACTACAACATGCTCTAAAGTAAAAACTATCTTATGACCTTCACAAACTTGTGTTTCTCTCCAGGAACTCACTAGATCGTACAGCCCGTAGGGTGGACGCCTGGACCCTGTACTGACCACCACAGAGACCAGGAATCCGGTGTACGCCCTTATACACAGCTGAGGGATACACACAACAAATACCCAGTTGTCTATCAATGACATAAAAGAATATCGAGCACATTTAGATATGGACACAGCGGCCAGCCAAAATCGCGCTGAGGATTACCGTAAAGAATTCGTGGATAAAGGGACAACGCCTACCTCCTCAGAGACTGATAACTGCTCAGTTCACACGGAGATAGAGAGAGTGGCAGAACCTGGATCTTCTGGCAAGAGGAGGTGGAGGTCAAACGAGAACAGAAGACAGAATAAAGAGAAGAGCAGGAGTCAGGCAGGAAGTAAACGGAGAGTTGAACTTCGAGACTATCGCTTCAAACAAAAGTCTTTAACAAATAGAGAATCATCTCTGGATAGCGGAGAAGGAGGGGGCGACGAAGAAGAAGACGATGGAGACTACGCCGTTAAGCAAGAAAATAGTGGGGATAAAGAGCTCTCATCAAATTCAGGTAACAGCGAGAGACAAATGGACGTCAGTGGTTATGATCCAAATGTGCGAAACACAGGAGTTATATCGGACTCGACTGGAATTCTGAAGCGCTCTCCTAACCCCTATCTGGTGAAATTCCCCCAACCTTGCCAGTTCTCTGCAGACAGTCGTCTCCTTTCTGAAGTCGTGGTGAGCCCGTTTGGGGAATCGGCAACATTGACAGAACAGCAACAACATAAACTCTCCGTGGCGACCTACGACTCGGCCGTGTCCACAATGTCAACGCCGTCGGCCGTATCTGTGTCGATGGAGTCTCGAGTCTTCTCTTCTCCCAGCAACTCGGAACGCTCCAAAAGCTCCATCTCTCCCAAACGACCTCGCTCACCGGAGCTAACGAAAGCCCTCAGACTGAGACAGGAAAAGCTCAAGCGTAACCGTGACATTGACGAAACCAGGATCCGCCTGAAGTGTCAGCATGTGGGAGAGAAGCGGGACAGAGGAAGCAGCAGAGGTCAGTCCGGGGAGAGGGCAGGCTCAGCTGCTCAAGCTAGGAGACCTGTGCTAGAAAGAGCGAGATCTGAGGACTCTAGTAAAAGCTTTCTTCGACATTTAGCTGGCAAAGACAGTAGCTGTTCCTTAGGAAGTATGAAGGAAGTAGAAGAGAGGTATTCCCGAAGAAAAACGCGATCAAAATCGGACTCTATTAGCAAATCGCCACTTTCCTACGAAAACAAAGGAACGTCACCAGACGACAGCCCCATGCAAAACACAATGACACCACCGGCCATTATTGAAACTAGTGCAACGTCTGAGGTGTTCGAACGTGCCCCTAGTTCTTTACATGACAAAAATTATCCATCTACCCATACTGCTGAAAGACCGGTGACTCTCACTCCACTCGAACGTCGAGATTCATCAAAGTCTTCAAGGTCGAGAGATCGAAAGGATAAAGAAGCGAAAAAAACCTCACAATACTCTTCAGACAACCCACGAAGTAGTAAAAGCAAAAGGTCGTCCCAAATTTCAAAGTCTGAGAGTGTGAAAAACGCCTTACCCGCCGACGATTCAAATCCACAGCCTGCCCTTCCTGAGTCTTCCAACACCGATCATCCCACAAACCCAGCTCGTTTACCTAATGAAGATACGAGTCATGGCAGGATTCCCCCGCCGGAAACTGCTCTCGACTCCCTGGCATCAGCTCAAGAGGTTGAAAAAACGACTGCTGTTACCATGGACGCCATTTTGAGAGACGGGCTTCCGGATATTCCAGCTTTGGTGAGCATTATGTTACTTTCATTGTTTTGTGTGCAGAGTCCCTTATATAAAAGTTTCTCACTGCTAACACTTGCCACCGACTGTCTTTAAAGTGCATCAAATCCATCATAATCTTCCTGTGTGTCAATTTTTTTTCTTGCCCTCTCTCAAAATCCCATTCCTTTGTTGCAACAATGTCAAACCATACCTAAAATATTTCTTTTTAAACCCTGTACGCTTTGGAATTTATTCTTCCACGCCCTTCTTAATCTACTAGTGACAGCTTTGTACAGCAGACCAGCTATTGAATTATTGCTTTTGACTTGTTTTTCATTGTTGTGTTTGCTGAGTTATGAGGACTTTCAACATGTATGTTTTTAATAGCAGACAGTTTTAAAGTTATTAGTATTACCTATTTTGTCATTCACACTACAGGAACAAGATGTCAAACGGTTTTATACTGTCCTAGGGTGCTGTTGGATAGTGTATGTGTATGTGTGGGGGGGTAAATGTGCGTGGATCCATGTGTGTGTCAGTCTGTGTGTGTAAATGTATGTGCCTGTGTGCGCGTGTGTATAGATAAACTCGCACAAAAAAGTCTAGGAACAAAAATTCCAAGAAAGATAACTGAAGAACAGTTTAACAAAATTTATTCATTTTTTCCCAAAAAGTTGCTTTCGACTCTTTAGATTAAGTGTGTACAATTTCAGATTTCAACAAAAACGAGAAGTTCGTGTAAAATGAGTTTAAGTCACACTGGTCGGATTTCAAAAGTCTGAACAGCCATAGTTCTTCATGAACATGTTCAATAGTGGGTGTAGCCACCCCGTTTGATCAAACACTCGGCACAGCGTCGACGTATGGACAGGACATGCCTTCGGAGGACTTGTTGCAGTAGGTTCTGCCCCTCCTGGACGAGGTAGCCAAGAGTTGCTTAAGGTTTTGTGCAGAAGGGTGGTTGTCTCTTATCCACCGGTCAATGAGATCCTAAATGTTCTCTTTTGGGTTCAAATCCGGACTACAAGCTGGTCAGTCCATGCGGGTGACAGCTCGCTGCTGCAGGAAGTCCCCAACGATGCGTGCGCGATGTGGCGTGGCGTTGTCGTCCTGCAGTACAGCCTGGGGTCCAATCTGTTGCAGGAGAGAAACAGTAAGGGGGGACGCAGGATTTCCTTCCTGTACCTTGCCACGGTCAAATTGCCCTGTATTTGGTACAGGAGGTCTTGTGGTGAGCTGAGAAGCCTCCCCACACCAGAACGGGCCCTCCACCGTAGGACGCCACCTGCTGGATGCACTCAGGGTGGAACAGCTCTCCTCGGCGCCCCCAGACGTGGGCTCGCCTGTCTGGGTGCAGCAGGTTGAATCTGGATTCGTCCGAGAAGACTACCTAGTCCCACTGACATTGTGTCCACTGTGAATGGCGAGCAGACCACGCCCGACCAGCTGCTGTGTGGGGCAGCGTGTGCCTTGGGCGCCTGGCAGGGACACGAGAAGCGAACTTGGCTCTACGGATACAGTTCCTTACCGTCTCCTCACTCTCGTGGACATTGGCTGTCACCCGTAGTTGGTCCCTGGTGCCGTTTGCAGTTGTGATTCGTGACGTAACGGCCTGTCTGACGATGAACCGGTCGATGCTGTCGTTGGTCAAACATGGCACTCTGGTTGAGGCTTGTCCTGGATCCTTCTTGTCGCTCGTCATCGTTCTTGCAGCCTCCATGTGACTGATGGGGACACCCCAAGTCGATGTGCAACAATTGGGAACGTGGAGCCATCTTGGAGCCAGGCAAGGACTCGTCCTCTGTCGACGTCAGGCAGTGAGCGTCGTTGGACCATCGTGTTGTAATGAAACGTGGCTGAAAATAGCTGCCTTATAAAGGGTTGTAAGGGAGCAATAACCACAGCTAAGACATCTGTTTAGCACGTGCCAAGCCTAGTTTTAGCTAACAGTCCCTATGCCAATGTTGCTGAAGCAGAGAAATTTAGCCCATTTTTCATGATTTTCGACTGTGTTTCAGAATGCCGTGCGCCGTCACTGTGAAGCTGGTGCGGGCAAATTTGCTGTACAGGCAAACTGTGTCTAGTCGACAGTACGTGTGCCAAGTTTGGTTGACTGATCTTAACGAGTTTGTGAGATATTGAAGTTTAAATTTGACAGCTGAAAACACAAGCTGTTCCTTGACATTTTTGGGCGAGTTTATGATTGGTTTGCCTCTGATATTAACAAATAAAATCACCAATTGCACGTTAAAAATTGGCACATCTATTTCGGTGACACCGTTGCCACCACTACACACAGTTCCCATTTTATCCAACTTCTGAGAACAAATCACTGCTCGTGAGGGTTAACATATTTTAGAAGTGCCAAAGAAGGAAGTCCTAAATAAAGAGGCCTTTAAAGAAACAACAACAGATACCATAAAGCTAAAGTGAATTAGATAAATCAACCAAAGACGTGTGGTTTAAGGACACCTGAGGTCGAAGGTATAAAATCACTCAGAAGTAGAATTTTAACTGACACTGATTTTAGCCTCGGTAACTTGAGGGTGAAGTTCATGCATAATACCAGTTCCTGACTGGCCACATACGTCATATCCAGATTATGAGTAAAAAATGAAGGTCAGTACAACAGATGAGCAATCTACGTCACTGGTGACGCGACAGTATGCATTACTGGTATAGTGGAGCGTGTTTTAGAATTTTAATTTTTGGAATATTGTTTTTTTACGCCCCATCGACACTCTATTAAATCATTTAGGAGGCAGAATTCGGACCCTGTCTGTCACGGCTAACCCGGGCGGAGTGGGACACAACATCCCAGCAGAAAGACTGGGATACTCGATAAAAATCCTCACTACTCGGGAGTCAAACTTGTGTCTCCTGCTTGCAACAACGAAACCTCTAAGCGCTACACCACTGACGCCTGAGGAGATTTAGGATAAATCACAGTTTTACAAGCGTGTATATTCAAATGCAATCAGTTATTCATTTGTTTTAAAAGAACTGATTGAATGGTTGTCTGCTCCAGGAGAACACCACGGAGTCCGTTGTCATTGATTGGAGAGGTGTCTTCCGGGTAGAGATGATGCGTCTTCGCAGAGAGGTGAACGAATTCCGAAAATTTTGTCAGGATCAGGTCAGTCTTTCTTGTTGAAGTGTTTTCTGTTTTCCTTTCTGTTGTTATGTACGTGTGCGCTTGTTTGTGTTTGCGTGTAGGAAGATATATCAGTTTAAAGTGAGAATGACAGAAGAAAAATAGATGACAGTACCATCCAGCTTAGCGTCGTGGGAAGTGATGCTTTTTCTGTTTTTCTTCCGAGTGTTTGTTGTTATGTATGTACGTTTTTGTTTGTGTGTGCAAGTTTAGGTGAGGATTACTTTGATTTTAATGCTTTACAAGTTCTGCATTAGTTTTAGTAAATGTGTTATGACACTTGAAATACAAAAAAGGTTATATAAGTGCCTAGGATAAGACTCTTTCTCTCTCTCTCTCTCTCTCTCTCTCTCTCTCTCTCTCTCTCTCTCTCTCTCTCCCTCTCTCTCTCTCTCTCTCTTTCTCTCTCTCTCTATCCGTACGTCCTGGGGTCATTTTGTACCCCCGGGGTTGTATTTTTCACATTTTAGAATACTTCTGGTGCGAAGATATCTTTGAAACTGTCAGTATTTCTCAAAAAATCATTTTGATAGACTGCTATGCAAAGCGTACGGAAAAGATTAACATGTAAATGTTCCTCTTTGGAAAGTGGTTGTGGCACAGAGTTTCCCAGGGGGCTCTCGTGGCCTAGAAGTTAAGGTGTTGGCCTCTCATTCAAAGGTCCCAGGTTCGAATCCGGGTAGCGACCAAAAAAAATTCTTCTCTAAAATTGTCTCCTTTCACCTCCTTCCCTGCTCTCTAGCAATGTTCTGTTGTCTGCTTTCATTTCCACTTTCTGCCCCCACCCCCTCACCTCCTTTGCCCCCTCCTCTGGGCTCCTGACTCTTTCTGCAGCCTTTCTTCTGCTACTCCTTGGCCCCTCCTTACTGCTGTCTTTCTGCCACACCCCTGATCTTCTGGTAAGATAGATCTACACCTAGCCTTCTCGGACAAGGGCGAAAAATATCGGAGGGCCCGTGTGCAAGTTGCGCACGTTAAAGATCCCTTGGTGGTCTAAAATCGATAAGAGTAGGCTTCGGCCGCCACCCGGGCAAAATTCAAAATTTCCTACCAACTGAAAATATTAGGTGTGTCCCGCGCGCTCATATGACCTATGCAGTTGTGAGCGCCGTAAAACACTTTACAAAAACAAAAAAAAACAAAGAGTTTCCCACGTCGCATGGATCCTATAGTAAAACACGACGTACGGATAAGGTTAAAGGAAAGAAGAAGCAAACCACAACAGAGTACCTGGTCTCTTACAGAAAGAAGAGAGATAGAAAGTATGTATGTGTGTGTGTGTGTGTGCGTGTGTGTGTATGTGTGTGGTAAATTTTCATTTACATTTTGTTAATTCTTTGCCAAATACGAAAAAAACAATATACTCTTTTTATATATAACACAACGTTAAACTGGAAAGACAAACAATAAATACTGATTGCCGATTGGACTCATGATTGGTTGTCTTGTCAATGAGGGATTTGTCAGTCTTCGGTCATTGTAACCGTGCGAGTCCCCTGTGTTTTACCAAGTCAGCTCAGTGTGGTTCTGACTTCATAAATTATACACACACCCATAAAGCACTCTCGAATACCAGGAGCAGTACGTCAGCAATAGAGACATACTTCACTGTCGGTTTGCCATCGATTATAGTTCCCTACCTGAAGAAAGATATAGCAGTTTACGGCGAGCATGACAGAAGAATAATAGATGACAATACCATCTACCTTTGAGCATTAAAGCCGTGGGAAGTAAACGCGACAGTCATCAGTGTTTTACTGGGAGGATTTGAGTCTTTGGTCAAGCATTGGCGTGCCGCAAGAAAGCAAGATTCTGGCGAGGTTTAAGCTGTTGGGGAAGATGAACAAGAAGAAAATCAGAAAGTCGTCTTGATATACTCGGCATATCGACTTCAAACGAAGATTCGTCTCACTATACGGAATCTGGACTCAGTCGTATTAAGTCAAACGTTCTCTACACTGGCTAAAAGGACCGGATTCACAGAACACAGATAGCGGGCTTCTCAGATTTTATCTCAGACTTCCCTAAACAAAATTTCACGAAACAAGGCGTGGTTTTGAATCCGGGGCTTTAGTTTTCACATGATTCCCATTATGGTGAGTATCAAAATCATGGTCTTTTACAAAAAATAAAGATGGACTACTGCTTTCTGTGACTTGTTCTCTCCTCGTGCTTGTAAGAAAAACTTACAAATTATCAAGGGAAAAGTGATAAATGTTTGAGCTGTTTATCCCTTTTAACACAGTCAATGTTTAGAATGTGGCATCTTTGAATCAAGAATAAGTTTGAGTGAATACTATCGAAAGTCGTAACCTAGATTTTGAAATCATTATTTGAATAGGGTCGTCTGTCATTCTTTCACTGACTTAGGAGTAGGTGGCTGGCCAATGTCATGACGTGACCTTCTTTGTCTGCCTATTTTCAGTGTTGTTATTGGCCTTACCTTTTTCTGGTGAATTGTCGAATCAATCGTGCCGATAAGTCTAGATTTCCTACTCAAATCAACCAAATTGTTGGCGTATAAAAGTTGTAACTTGAAAATTATAATTGCATATTTATGTGTCTTGAAGGTATGCGTATAGTCACAAACTCGGTTTATCGTTTCAAAATTTTTGGGACTGAAAACGACTGAACTGTAAAAACTGGATTACCTGGAAACGTGTTTGCAGCCAGAGCTCAGGCGTTTTTTTTTACCCCTTATCATCATCTGGTCGGGTCACGACAAGGAAGCTCTAAGACTTGTTAACCTTATTTCATTTTAAAAAACAACACAACATAGATTGGTAGTAAATAATGTATTGTGCGGAGCAAATATATCCATATTGTTTTACAAAGGGTGGGGACGGGGGTCACAACTGGCATTTGACCAAGATAATTGATCAAAGCCATGTCTTATCTAAGAAGGTCATGTCGCGCCGCTGAAATACAACACGACACACTAGGAACCATAAAAAGTAGAAACGTTTGCTTCCCAAATACGTCAATGGAACAATTAATGGCAATATCGACAGTGGGAATGAGAATATCAGGTTGAACGCAGTTCTGGCATGTTGGCTGTCACAACCCATTGTTTCCCGAAACGAGTCCGATGATGACGACAATTCCCCAAATTTCCTGGGGCGTGAAATCCAATCTTGATGCAATAACAGCGGGAAGCCATCTCTCGGGATATTCAGAAATATATGGTCACTGGACAAAAATTGTTTATGCATCGGAACGCTTGCCCATGCATGAAACAGTTTAAATACCGTATCGATGGCGGGTTCGAAGGATTCGAGAAATTTTTAGCACTTTTAGGTTTATTTTTGGAATTCACGATGTCAACTTAAGCATCAAAGCACCTTTAATTATTGGTATGCGTTGTTTGATCATCTACCTAGAGAACCAATTATCTTTGAAGCGTGGGTCTTGCTAATTTAAAGTACCAGCGCACAGTTAGATGCGACTAGGTATGTGGCACACTTTATTTATCAATATGCAAAACATATCGTTCTACTTACAGGGTATAATAAACTGCTAATGTGAAGTCATATGACCAGAGATGGTCCAAACTACCTCAGAACTACTTTCATCTAGGGAAAGGAAAAAGAACAAATATGTCAACGTTGCATTCTAAAAGACTGGACTTTGGGACTTCGACTTCTTTTTTTCTCCTTTTTTTCTGTTTTTTTATTTAGTGTAGATTTGTTTCCTATATACGCATGGCATTTTTGTAATTATAAGGTTTTGAGTTTTTAATTTTAGTTAACTAGCTTTGCTTCTGGGTTAGAATGAGATTTATATTATGGTATATGATATATAATAGCTATTCAGTTGCTGTGGCCAGCATTTTGTGTGACCCTACATTCGTTCCGACATAGTTTCGTGTAACTGATCGGATGTAGAAGTGTACCCTGTTATACAAATAAATCGGTTCGTACGATCGGAGTAAAATCGGATCAGGTCAGAAAATCAGACTGCGCTGTGTGTGGCTGACCTCGTTATCACGTAATCGCCCTCCTCTTATCTGAGTGGATGGATTTGTCCAAAGAGCTTCCTTTTCGATTTCATGTATATGTGTATAGCAAACAAGCATGGGCTCGCAAGATCAGATAGGAGAAAGTTTAGACGTGATGAGTCGAAGAAACACAGAAGAAATCTAAACATTGTCAGAAATATTTGGGTAGACATTATCGAATACGTTATCATTTGAGTATATTTATTCTGAACTGTTTCTATTTTTTGAAAGATGGATACTAAAGCGTATATTCCAGGTGGATGATTATAAGTGTGTGTGTGTGTGTGTGTGTGTGTATGTGTGTGTGTGTGTGTGTGTGTGTGTTTGTGTGTGTGTGTGTGTGTGTGTGTGTGTGTGTGTGTGTGTGTGTGTGTGTGTGTGTGTGTGTGTGTGTGAGCGCGCCCGTGCATGTGTCGATTTTTATTGTGAATTTTTTTTTTTTTGGGTGGGGAGAGGTAAGAGGGGAGCTTAATACTGTCTTCATCTATTCGAAAACACACTTTTCTGTATGGTTTAAACTAAAAAAACGTTGATCAGAAGCAAAAAAAAAGTAGAATTTCAGTTTTCAAGAACAGCCACGCGTAGGAAGTCACTAAACTTTGGCGCCTATTTTCTCGCTAATTTCAACCTCTAACACCAGGAGATCCCAACCACCTTCACTCGCAAAATCTCAACTTCTATTTAAGATAGATGGGAATCATCTTATCAAAAGAAGGATAAACGAACAGGCATTAAAATAACACCTATAACTCCATTTGCTCAAAAGTTGACGAGCGTGTGATTTCACCGCGTCGTGACACAAATAACCTAAATCTGACTAGTATGCATACTGAAGAGACAATAAAATACACAATTCCGAGGCAAAATGTTGCCCTTTATTAATGAACTTGACCAGCAAACCAAGTTCAAACTTCATGTGTATCAAATGTCTGAAAATACCCCTCCTTTCCGGATAAATATCCTTCTCAGTCCAAATAATAGCTCTCAGCCATGAGAAAATCAAAATAACCTCACGAAATCGTTTGTTTTCTCAGCCAATAAAACTCACGAAACGAAACAAGAGAAACAAAACCCAACCAAACATTGACCTGTCCCGGGCGTTTACTCATTATATTTTTGTTTCTCGTGAACAATTTTCTCGACCCCTTGAAGCTCAAGCTAGCAGCAGCAGCATGAGTAGCAGCAGCAGCCATTGCCAGATTCCATTTGCAGAGATTATTTATTGAGTAATTGTAGAGGGCAAACAAGATCAAATAGAATGCACGTTAGCGTTATATCGCGCCTTGGTAACCCCCCTACAAAGGATAAACACACGCTCATGACTACAGCCACTCCCCAGCGTAAAGCGTCCCGATATCTGTGAAAGTGCCGGGGATAAGACCACCACGAAGACTGCTCAATCACACGACGGCTAAGTTAAGAGAAAATATTTGGTTAACAGTTGTCAAGGAAAGAGAAACGAAATCAACAATAAATACATTCGATATGTGGGCAGAAACATTACCTTGAAGTAAGCAGTCAAAAAGAAACAAAAAGAAAAAGTTATTGTGAAACGGATGGTTGCAGTAATCAAGTAACTGACAATATTTCGGTCGTTTGTTTGCTTTTTTACGTATAGGTATTGTTGAGCGAAATGGGAAGACAATTGATAAGTTCATGAAATAAATGTTGAACACTTGCTGATAAAAGCTAAGTACCATACAAAATCCTTTTTTGATCTTGTAGAATTAATCGAAAACAAATACCAAACAACTCTATTGGAATAAACGTTGTCACGAGAATGTTTTAAAGCAACGAAAACTATCGCAACCAAAAAAACCAAACCCCAAAAAACAAAAAAAACAAAAATAATAAAGAAAAGGATAGGTAAAAAAGTGAACTAAGCATGAAACACTTAATGGATATAACTGATGGTAAAAAGATGTAATCTATGAACGCAAGAAGTGCAAACGTTTAGTTCCTGCAGATGGGTTTTTTTCCGACTGTGACCTGCTATATGGGTGCGAGCACTTGGTTCAAGATAAATAAATCTAGGTGCAGCGTGGGGGTACGTGGAGCTCCTCATACATCCAACTGCTTCGTGAGACGAGAGCTGAGGTGAAATTATATAAATTATTGAATTCTTCGGGGCTGATTGTGAGGGTGTTTCAAGCCAAATCCTAAGAGTTTTTGTGTTCTGTACAGACGATCTTGTTTTGTCGTCCACATGACGCAAACAGTTCGATCGATAATTAAGCTACGGGAAATGTAGCGCAGTTAGTCAGACATGAATACACTCATAATAACTAAAGCTAGTGTGGCAGGAAGTTGGTTGAGGTTTATTTCCTTTTCACCAAGAACAAAACAGTAATTATTACGATTATCACCATCATAATGGGTTTCATCATTGCTTCAAAGAAGTATAAAAAAATCGTGGGTATAATGAAGTACTCAATAATTATGTTCAAAAACTGTTATGTTTCAGCTCTAAGGCTTCATCAGCATCATGATCAAATAAACTGGAGAAAACCGGAGCTAAGAGAGTAATGTTCATAAACAACAGACTCCTAAAAGCTGCAAACTGCTTCTTCCATTTTTCCCCTCCTTTTTCTTTCTTTCTTTCTTTCTTTCTTTTTCCTTCTTTCCTTTCTTCCGTCCTTCCCATCCTTCATTCTTCCATTTTTCTGTCATTCCTTCCTTCGTTTATTTCTTTCTTTACTTACTTTAGGGGGTGATGGCGAGACACACTTATTGCCAGTCACTAGTTTGCTTACCCAGTCCCATCAAGCACATCCGACAAATGATACGGAATGTGCTCCCAACTTTAGCATGCGTCCGTTGAAAGTTAAGGGAGGAGCGTCTAGAGGTGAAGGCAGGAGGGGCGCAGATGCCGCTGTGGGCACAAAGAAATGCCAGGCAGCGCGAATAGCTAAAGGGAAAATCGAAGCCCGTGGAAATGGTTTCTTCCGTGCCTTCCCTAAATGTCAGAGTGGTGATTGGGGTCTGGAACAGAAATTATCGATCAGCTAATAACACACTGGTCGATCATCATCGACTGAACGGGATAGGGTCGAGTGACTGATAGCCTTAGCCCGAGGCCGATCGACCCGTCCACCCCTCCCCGTCCCCCCCCCCTTTCCCTTATCCCACCTCCTTCTTCCTCGAAATCCACCCCTCACTCCCCCTCAACCAGTCCGCCCTCACGAGAGCGCTTGGTTATACTATAAGTGGAACGGGTAGACTAAAATTCTATTCAATGTTCGAAATTCAACGTTCGAATTGACAAAGAAAGACACTCTTAGCCCACCACAAGCCAGATCGTTGGCTGTTGTAAGGCTTTTTACTGTGAACTTTCCATACATAATATGAAGAGTTTGGGTTCTAATCCGTATAGGTTTTTAGATTTTTCCTATCTGCTTAAAAACTTGAACCTCATCTCGAAGACCCGGCGGCAAAGGCCTTTATCTTCAACACAATCTGTTCTTTGAATTAAACGATGGTAGTGTTTGAACCAAAATCCCTCCCCCCTTTTTTTTCAACGGGGAATGTTTGCATAATGTGTGACATTTGGTTCTCTTGTTGGCAAATACCTTTATCGAAAGTCGAACTACCGGCTTCTTTGCTTAGTAAATTGTAGTTTATAATTTCCTAGCCTCTTGTTCTTGCCTTCAAAAGTTCCATTTTTCCCTCGATTTTCTCTTTCTTTTCGAAAAATGAAACAAAAAGATTCTAATAATTGGTACTCTCCATTCGGTCATCTTGTGCCCCATCATTTCTACAATATTAACTCTCCTCTCTCTCTCTCTCTCTCTCTCTCTCTCTCTCTCTCTCTCTCTCTCTCCCTCTCTCTCTCTCTTCCTATGCTCACCTTGTTAGCTTTGTATGTCTGTCTGTCTGTCTGTCTGCCTGTCTGTCTGTCTGTCTGCCTGTCTGTCTGTCTGTCTGTCTGTCTGTCTGTCTGTCTGTCTGTCTGTCTGTCTGTATGTCTGTCTGTCTGTCTGTGTACGTATGTCTGTCTTTATGTCTTTTTTTCTCTCTCTTTAAATACTTTTCCCTCCTACCGTTTTTTCTGAATCTATGAAACGTCCTCTTTAACACAAGCTAATGCTACAAAGATCGTATTCGGGTTAATTTTTTTTATCTCTAAAACTGGTTCACATTTGCATGAGTTGAATAGGAACCTGTCTGCCATGATGTTTAATTCAAGATAAAATACAATAATTTTGCTGCCATAATACTGATAATACAGCAAAAACGATCCATCAGATCAGGATATGCAAAAGCCTGAAGACGTAGATATATACAAGAAAGGTAAAAAGAGAAACAAGAACAAGTGACATCGGCAATATACTACTGTAACAAAAATCAAGACAGTCAACACAATGGGTGAATTATGAAAGCCTGCATAATACTAAGCGTTTCGCTTCAACAGACGCTATTTATAAGATTAGGAATGGGCTTTCGTCTACACTGCAAGTCAGGCTCCACCCAGGCACTGTTGAGTACACTCTATTACAAAGATGAAGATACTTCATAAAGCTTAAAATCATACTACAAAAACAGATGTAGTTCATTCTTGTTAATGTTAAGCACGGTAGTGTTAAACGCGTTGTTAAATTCGGCTAGAGCCAATGTCAAAAATACAAGAAAAAGAACTATCGACTTGAACGATATAATATAGAGTAGAGCTTCACAAAGACTTCAATTGTACCTTGCATCGACACATATAGGGACACAAAAAAAGGTTGAGTACATAATGTACATCCTGGGTGCAGTACCTGTGCTGTAAAAATGTGTCGACAAGATGGAAGCACACTTAATAACCTTCCCACATGGCATGAGCAAAAGGTCGAAAAATAAGAACTAGAGAAGGTAGTGATACGTTCCTAGAGCTATCGAACAACCTTTACACTGCTTAGCAATCACCGCACTCTCTTGAACAACGCCAGTTATCGTTTGTCAATAGTAATATCAAAGACGTAATAATTCTGTCTATAACCTACACACAGGCTAAATATATATATATATATATATATATATATATATCCTTGTATTCATTCAACGCCCCCTGCATCCCTCCATCCATCCACCCATTCTTTGGCTAAACATACCGATCCATTTATCTCTCAATTGGGTTCATCAACCATCAAAAGTCAACACGAGTCAAGAAAAAGATACCCATGTAATACCTTATCTCTTTAATATTTTGCATGATCGTCGACATAGTAAAAATAATAGTAATTATGATAATGATAATAATGAAAAAAATAAAATATTAATAATAATATAATACTAATAATAATAATACGTAGCATTTATATTGTGCTCTTACTTTTTTAGAAAACAAGGTCTTAGCGCTGAGTTGTAATTTAAAATAGACAAGACACTGACACAGAATATGAATTATTTTCTGTGGTAAACACGATCATGATCTAGAAATATTGATTTTTACACTGTATTTACAGACTCAGTATTCTCTATGTGTCTCATTTTTGTGGGAGGAGGTTTGACGCCCAAACAAGGAAAAATGCATTCTTTTCTCTCTTTCAACAGATCAAACTACATGCACTGGCTCTGGAAAATTCATGGAGTGGAAAAAGCCGGCCAGATGGTCTGCAGTCCAAAAATGGTCTCAGGTACATTGTATAAAATAAAGATCAGCTTAGCTCTCTCTCTCGTCTGCAACCGTAAACACAAAAGACGCCAGAGTATAGAATAAAACTAACTGTGCTGTGTGTTGTGCGTTTTTAACCAAAACAACATTTCGCACCTTTTAACCTTGGTTTCTTTCATGGTCGCGAAAAGTCACGTCGCTCTCATTATAATATAACCCTCTTTATAGTAGTTATAACAATGACGTGTTTACTCCCCTTCTTCCTCTTCCATTCATTCACACACATACACACGCCCGCTGTCTATTGTCCCTTACAGACCAAGCGAACCCCCACGGATCAGCGAACAGTTGAAAGACCTGGAGGTGAATATGGAACTTTTCCAGAAGAAGCAGCGTCTGCTTGACCTTGAGACTGAGATCCTGGCCAAAGAAGAGCGTCTGTCTGGTAAACAGAAGGACCTGGAAGAGTATGAGAAGGAGGTAGTTTGTTTACTCGCCATGGTTTGAGATCCTGTTTGAGGTTTACTTTTTGAGTCCACAAAGCTCTTGTTTGTGTGATAATTGATAATACACAGTATAACAATGTGTTTCTTGTCGCATACAATGTATCCGACAGTGTTAAAAGTACAACATGTTTTTAATGTCGGTGTTTTTAAGCCCCATTCGGCACAATTTTGATCATTTATGAGGCGGGCTTCCGACCCTGCTTGTCAGTACCATGCTGAGAGGCAAACAAAATTCCAGCACAGGCAGTCGATAAAAATGTCATCCCCATTCGGGAATCGAACTTTTGTCTCCTGTGTGCGACAACGAAGTGCCTGACTGCTGCACTGCAGAGCTGGTATTAAAAGTGTTTGTTTTTTTAACGAAAATATCAGAGAGAAAAATAGTTAAGTAGTATTATAAACAAAGCACAGCCATAATATGAACACTAGATTGTCTAAATGGAATAAAATAAAGCAATGTGGTCTAGTGGTTAGGCTCTCGAAATCGCAATCGGAAGGTCATGGGTTCAAACCCCATCAGGGGCCCGACATTGTGTAATTGGGAAAAGTGTTTCCCGCGAATTTCCCCGACTTTACCCAGTTGGGAATTACTACCCGGCTAAAAGAGGCAAAACATCTTGTTGGTTTGTTAGTGTTAAAAAGCTTATTCAGCTGTTTGCAGTGTATGTTTCCCGGGAAGCCGTGAATTTGTCTAGGTGATCCTGGGTATGGTGAAGTAAAAATAGTAAAGAACATAGAGTCAACTGCAGAGCACAGATATGCGCTCATGCATAAATGAAATATTATTAATATATTAGTATTTGTTGTACTGGTTTTATTATAAATAACTTTACCCAATCTTTTTTCATTATCTTGTGATAATATATAATAAGCGCAGAAAGCAACATGTTTCAGAGAGGGGAAAAAAACCTTTTAATTCATTTTAAAAATCAAGTGTAGCTATTTTATACACATTTTCTAGCCCTTTTTACAACGTTTAGAATTTCAAATTTTAAAATATTAATATAAGTATATTTCTTGGACACGTGCTACTGATATCATATATAAAGAAACAGTACAATCTTTTTCTTTTTAATTGTGTCTCCAAATTTTTTGACCAGCTAGATTTTGATAATCTGGCCAAATTACCCTTCTTCTTTTTTTTTTTTAACAAAAACTAATACGGGGTGCCCACTACGGCTGGATTGAGCCGATCGCCCGACTCCATCGCCTAAAACTGAAAACAAACACGTTTGTTTTTTAGGCGATCGAGTTTGGCGATCGGCCCGATCGGCAGATCCCATCCGTAGTGGGCACCCCGTATAAAACGCAATGTGTTCCCCAGATCATTGATGTGGAGGCCATGCTCAACCACAGACAGGCTATCTGTGACAGGCGACAGAGGGCTCTGGTGTCTTTAGACGAGGTTAGAGCTCGTGGGACATGCATTCTGTTATTTTGTAGTTTTTGTCTTTTTATGTGTGTATGGGAGGGGGGAGGTGTGTGTGTGTGTGTGTGGATGTGTGGATGTGTGTGTGTGTGTGTGTGTGCGTATGTGAGAGAGAGAGTGCTGTGTGTATTTGTGTTTGTGTGTGTGTGTGTGTGTGTGTGTGTGTGTGTGTGTGTGTGTGTGTGTGTGTGTGTGTGCGTGTGGGTGTGTCTGTGTATGTGCTTCTGTTTGCGCGCCTCTGTTTGCGTGTAGGTAATTTTTGTGTTTGCTTTTGTGTGAATGTGTTTGAGTGTGAGTGAGTGTGTGTGTTTTTGTTTGTGTGTGTTTGTGTTGTTTTGTTTTTGTATGTGTGTCTGTGTGTGTATATTTGAGTGTGTATGTACGTGTATTTTTGTGTGTGCATGTGTGTGTATGTGTGTGTTTGTGTGTGTGTGTGTGTGTTTGTTGTTTGGGGTTACTTTTCTGCTAAAAAAGGTGATGATGACAGCGATGGTGATGGTGATATGTATATAAATTCAAGTGCACTTCGTCGTTCCTGTTTATTTTTGTTTTGAAAGGTCGCCCTAGGAGTTACACTGTCTATTGTATTATTGACCCAAAAAAATTCAACATATCCTAAGAAGAAAAAGGAAAGCTTAAACGAACAAACAAAAACCACTGCTAGTGTTTATACGTTTTTCTCATATGTTTTCCATAAAAATAAAGCGCCACCCAAAGCACTTTTGTATTGTGTTTATGAGAATATCTGCGGCTGATTTCAGGTTTACAATAGCTATTTTTAACGACTAGTGGCAACCAACGGTTGACGGCGTAATTCGGCTCCCAATAACTGTCAATTGTGTTTCGTCTTAAGTAGGGTGGATGCTTTCCTGGGTAGTCCAATGTTAACGATTAGGTCGAGGAAAGGTAGCTGGATGAAGAGCTGTTGAGAATTATGCCAAACAAAATCTGACAATGAATAATCAAGGTTTTTGACGCTGGAAATAATATAATATTATGTGTTTTAGGTACATAAGTTTCAAACTGTTTGGAGTCATTGATGACCCGTAACCTACCCTGGCCTATCATCGTGTCATATGAATTAAATGTATGCTTTGCATTTTCAACATTATAGTACTCCTTTACAGCATGTATAAAAAAATCAGAGGCGCCTTAGGTGTTTATATTAGTTTTCAAGGTCCACAAAACATCTCAAATTTTCATCTAAGCGAAATGTTATTATATTGAATTTTTAAAAGATTATTATAAACGTATAGAAACGAATAAGTAACGGAACAAAAAACAATTTATTGGTCCTATTAAGAGCA